ACTGCCTAGACTGCATCCTGTAAGCCAATCTAATAAATCCCTTATATATAACCTAGGTATGAATATATATATTCATTCCATCAGTTTTCTTAAAGGGCATGGAGTCATATAATACGTGACTTCAAAATGTACTCCAAACCTGTAGTAACTAAAACACCATGATATAGACATAAAAGCAGACCAATGGAATAGGACAGGAGCCCATAAATAACCTTCCATATTTTTAATGAGATGATTTTTTAATAGAGGTGCCAATACACAGTGGATCCACCTGTTTCTCCTATAAATTGTGTTTTGCTTATAAATGGCCACACAGAGAAGAAGGAAATGGGATTGGATCGATCATTTGCACGAAATGATGACCGCATTGCTGGAAGACTAGATTTTGATAAGATTGCTCAGTGTGTAAGGTTGTGAACCAGTAATTAACTTTAGTTCATTTTTCCAGTGAGTCGCCATATAAAAATATCACACCAGCTCCCATACAAACACAATCACCTAAAAGTAAAATTTAAAAAGCAAGTATTTTCATAGTTTATAAAACTATCATGCATTCTCTGGATTATCATATGCTAAATTATTAAAATGCCACACTCCACATACTACTGGGAAGGAAAGCTATCACAGACTATCACTGCATACTTCAGCTTCCTTGTCAACATTTATTGAGTGACTTCTAGGTACAGGTGTGTGTTATGGAGAGGCAAATATTCATATGTATCTGTGCATTATTAGCCAAAGTACAGCAAGCTAAATGGTATTTCAACACATTTTATGCACCTGAAATTGATTTCTCCTTTAATATTATGTAACTGGAATATATTACCAAATTGTAAAAAACAAATAATGGATTGACTTAGTCAAAATAAGTTGGAATAAATTTGTGAAAAGTGTTTCTGTGGTTGATTAGCAGTGCCATTTTTATATCAGTACAGAGATCAAACTGTTTGATTTTGTATTCGTCTGTGACCACTGCATCTAATAAATGTCAGGTTGATGAGAGGAGATCATGTTTTGTATTGACAATTAGAACAATTAAATGGAACCTGCCATTTGAGTTACCTTCTAATGTTAAAATTTCAGTTTTAAGAAGCAATTATTAAAGGATATGTTCATTGACTTCTTATGCAGTTTGTGGCTTCAATTCTAGGCAATAGAATTATTAAGTCTGTGAGGGAATTCACTACTCAGAGGTCACTTCACATCCTCTTATTCTGTTTTTATGGGTACCCCCATATCTTCATACCCCCTAGCTATGCAGTGAAAGAGAACCAGCATCCCTCTCACTCTACAGACTTTAGATTCCTCTGTGATTTCTGATAACAGTTATACAACCTCTACATCATTTCCAATGTGCATGTTTTCTGTTACTCATTTGAAGTCCATAAATACCTGTTTTTATTAAAAATCTTAATAACTAATCAAACTGGCATTCTGGACAAAATACGTTACATTTGGCAATTTAAGCCACACTTGTCTGTTGTCCAAGTCACAAACTAGTAGGTAGTTTCATGGATAGATATTGACTCTTGCAGACTACAATCATTCTCCTCTTCATTGTTGTGCCAAAATACCTTAGAAAAACAACTGAAGGAAGAATTGATGTTGGCTTACATCTAAGCAGGGATACAGTTGATCTTGCTCAAGTCGTGGCGGTAGGAGGATACAGCAGTTGATCACATGGCATCCACAGTCAGATGGAGAAAAGTACGTGCTGATACTCACTTCCTTCTTTTTCTGCAATCCTACATCCCAGTCCTCGGCACTGCGACATCCACATTAGGCATACGTTTTCCTCTTTAGTTTGACCTTTCAGGAAATACCCTCATAGACGGAACCAGACATATATTTCTGTGGCAATTCTAAATCCTACAAAACTGACATTAAGATTAACCTCCTCACATACTTAGAGGGGGTAGGACACCAGGATGTCTAGGTTTAATGACAGATGCTGCTTTTACTGGCAACCAAAGAGGTAAGAAATGGAGATCAGTGCTCTCTGTTGGACCATGAGTAAATGTGAGTGGAGGTAGCAGGAAGATCAAAAGGGCACGTGGTTAGATCGCTAACAGAGCACATGGCCTTGGGTTACTAACACTCCTCTTAAAATATTTTGGGGACAACACAACAACAGGCACATATTCAACAAGGGAATTTAGAAAGTCTATTCACTGCCTCCTCATAGCCTATGCAATGAAGTACAAATGCCTAGAAATGAGCCTGACTGCGATTTTCAAACTTCAGTCTCATCTCTTGCCAATTTCATATGTACCTTCAACCCACATTAACATAAGCAAATCATTCTTCTCCTTTTCCTATGTAAGGTAGAGAGGCATGAGTGTGTGCATGTGCACATGTATGTACCTTTCTACTATTCCTCACCTTTATGCTATCTTCCACCTCAAGTATCTTTTCCACACTTTCCACAAACTTAGGTAGTGTTGGGGACCTTTCTCTCTAACCAGCTGTCAACTCAGTCCCCTGCCTCCTCCCGTTTATCGTTATTGTGTCTGTTCTCTTTGCTAGGCTCAGTCCCCAAAGCTAAACACACAGGAGGCAACCAATATGAAATTTCTGGGTGAATACATGGAACTTTGATGAAACCTAGAGATTAGAAAATTGCTTAACTACAAAATTATAACATATAGTCTATGAGAAAGTAGAACAATTTTGCAAATAAGAAAATGGCTTTATATTCATGTAAACTTATTTTCCATGTCGTGCTATTAATTTTAATTAGTGGTTGGTGCTTAGTAAACATTTTAGGTGATATACCATATGGTACTGTTTGGTGTTATTTTTTCTTTCCTATAATGTCAAGAGAGTAAGAGAAGCATGATGTTTGTACTTTGGTAGGCAATCCTGAGTGTGTTTTTTGTAGAACCTGATTTAATTGATGGCTGTGGTTGTGCTTGGCAACAATGCTGCCTTAAAGGTTAAGTTTCCAGGATCAATTTTGTTCATTGGATTGTGGCTTTATCCTAATTAGCAAATCTCAGTTTTGAGCTGTATGTTAAATGGGTGTACATAAAAATTTGTACATTGAATTTAAGAATAAGGGAGCACCGAGTTTTAGATCTTGAATTTATTCCAGACCATTTGCTCTTTCCCTTTACTGATAAGGAACTAATAACCCCATGGAAAATGACTGTTCCTTAGAGGAACCAGGGAAAGGATTCTGGTTACTTTATTCTTCCAGATGAATGTAAATTTCTAAGCAAGGATAATTGTATGGGGACATTACGAGATGCACCAGCACTTTCCCTAGTAATCAACTTTATTAAGAAAGATAAAGGTTTGCCTCAGAGGCTTGGTTGCTGTGCCTTGTCACCCAGCCAGCCCTGCTTCCTTGTGTTTTCTTTACTTTGGGAAACTGTGGTTGTCAAAAGCCCATGATCACAACCATCACCCACTAGGAGAACACATAGCTCCTTGCAGATGAAACTGTAGGAGAAAAGTTTTGTCTTGTGGAGAGACTGTCAGTTTATACATTACCAGCATAATAATTTATAACCAACAGTAGTGGTTTAAGTAGTGTTACAGCTTAGCAGCTGTAAAAATAACTGCAGTATTTATAAGCATTATAGTAACAATAACCACAGCAGTTGCCTTACCTGACACTCCTATGTAGTGGTGGTCATTTAGCATATGTTATCACGGGCATGTACAAGTGTTGGTAAGCATCACCAGTCTCTGTATAAGTAAAGGTTGTAAGTATTTTGCCTATTTTCCTAGAGGCCATTCAAAATTATAGTATTTGTAGGTAGCTTCTTGTGCGAGGTACATTTGCCACATTTGCAAACTAACTCAATTTGAGTTTGGCTGTGGGTTAGCTCCCGACCTCATCTCATATGTATATACAGGAATGTATTTATACACAGTTCACATGTATATAAATGTAAGGGTTCATCTTTATTAATAAAGGTCAATTACTCAAGACAGTATTGGTACAGCTGCACAAATTGTACGGTTCCCTACTCTTAGCTTTGCTTGAGAACTCACGTTCATCTGGAAGTAAGAATCAGCCAGAATTCCTTTCCTGACACCACTAGGAAGGAGTCATTTAACCACGGAGGCCTTAGTTTCTTGTCAGAAACTGAACCAGGAATACAGGTCAGAGTGTGAGGGCCAAAGCCTGAAGAACTGGGTTGGATTCCAACCCACAGAGTGGAAAGAGAAAACTGACTCTTGTAAATTGTTCTCTGACCTCCACATACACACTATGATATTCATGCATGTAGGTACACACACATACACACACACACTGAACAAAAGCTTTGATATTTGTGGCATCTTAGGATAGTTATTTAACCTTGGGGCTCCAGCTTCAATCATCTTGTCTATAAAATTGTGGTACAAAATGTCAATTTGATATAATGGTATCTAATAACTGCTTTATCAAATAAGAGTCACAGTCATCTTTATTTTGTGGACATTAGACCCAAGCCTTATGTTTTCCTGTGTCACTGGGAAAATTCAGGCTCCTCCCTTCTTTTCTCTCTTTTACACCACCTGGGTTAGGATACAGAATTTCTGTTTAAATTGGTTATAATTTAATGTGATTATGTGGTTTTTTCCTCCTTTCCCTGAAACCCTACTTCACTGCTGGAGTTATAAGAAAATACCTGGTCACATCTTTATCCTATTGAAATAAAATTATTTGGTAACTAGCTACTTTTAGTAGCTGTTCTGTCCAAGGTTCTAAATTTTTTTTTAGTTACTGAAAATAGATTCTTCTCCTGGGTGGGTGGGGGATGGGGTAAGGGGACAACATAGGAAATGTAAATAAAACATCCAATAAAAATTAAAAAAAATAGATTCTTCTATCACACAATATATCCAGACCACAGTTTCCCCTCCCTCCCTTCCTCCCAGCTCCCCACCATCTCCCCTCTCCCTGAGAGCCATTCCATCTCCATCTAAAATCCTTGCTTTAATCTTAATTTTTAGGAATCAATAAGCGTCGTGTGTTCATTGGCATTTTCTTTATCATCTTTCAGGTCTTGTAGAAATTTGCCTGATGCATCCTCTCGACGTGGTGAAAACCAGGTAAGGTTTTGCATGCACAAGTTTTATTGACCTTGGCTGATATCCAAGTTAAGATCTGTCAGAACACTAAATGCTAGAACTTGTCCCAGGCCAGTAACTTTCTTTCTATAACGGCATCTAAGTTTGCTTTTCAAAGAAAGTACCGCTTGACAGATAAAATGTGAACAGTGAGAAGCATCTTTGGAGAAAGGTCGTTAGAAGGTATGCAGTGCTTTCTGCTGTCACATGCCAATGCTGGAAGATATGATTTGTGATGTACTGGTACATGAGGTAAATTCATCAAATTGGTGTAAAAACTAAATGTTATCTAACGAACTATGACAGCGGCTTTTCATTTGGCACTGCACAGAATAGATTACTGTCTAATCGTCAGCAGTTTTATTTCAGGTGAGCTTTGTAAATGACAGTTAAAGAATTTATTCCTATAACTCTTTGCCAATGCAAACCGTCATATTTCCATGAAGATGCTTTAGGAAGGAGAAAACGTAGAGCAATGTATTAAACCTATCTACCAGGAATAAAAACAAAATAAAAAGCAAAACCAAAAATAACATCACTATAGAGCACTGGGGGAGGTGAGTCTTTAATTTTTTTTTGGACTTGTAATATGGCATTTCCCCTTTACTTTCTCCTATGTACTCCTCCACATGTTCATTCTCAAATTTAGTGAATAGTGAATGTTTTGATATATTTGCATTCTATAAAAACTTAAGTGATATGACTCGGCAGCGGGTCCTCCCCCCAAAAAAGAAAAACCACACCTTCCGGCAGGTTTATTGGGGCAGGGAATACAGAGGTAGCTTCTGGGTGAGAGAGGAAAGAAGAGAGAGTGGGGGCAGGGAGAATGTGACTCTCAGTGGGGCTGTGGCACATGCGCAGAAGCACACGTGACAGGAGTGACAGTGTCACCTCTTAGGCAGCTAGAGATGACATGTCTAGTCTCCGGGTCCCTTGGAAGCTGGCTGTAAAGACGTCTGATTGTTGTGGAATCACTTTTAGCTGTCCATGGATGTGCCGGGTTGCTAACACTGAAGAACCACACCAGCTTATGTTCTAGTCTCCTAGCAAATATTGCAGCACTAATTCTGTGGTTGAACAAATCATTGCTTCCTCGGTTAGGAATTAATTGATGAGTCAGACTGGTCATTTGATGGACATTTTATTTAATTTACCTTAAGAGGCCTCTTAATTTGAATTTTCTTAACTTTTTCTTAATTTAATGTGTGTGTGTGTGTGTGTGTGTGTACACGTGAGTATGCTTGCCATGTACATTCTATGGCACACTTTTTAGACACAGTTATTGTTGGACTCAGCAATCAACTTATGGGATTGAATTCTCTTTCCATTCTGTGAGTTCCATAAGTCAAAGTCAGGTCATCAGCCTTGGCAGCAAGTGTACTCATCCACTGAACCATCTTGCCAGAGCCTGCAGACGCTCAGAGTGGTTGATGATGAAAGCAGAAGAAAGTGACTTTTACATGATAACAGTATCACATTTATAGTTGAGATAAGATTTGAATTGTGACTGAACCTCCCAGCTATCATAATAAAATACCACAGCTTAACCAAAAGCCATTTAGTTCCCACATATTAGGAAACTAGGAAGTTGAAGATCAAGGTTGGAACCCACACAGTTCTTACTGCAAGTCCTCTTCCGGGCTCACAAACATGGCACTCTCACGCAGAGAAGCTCCATAGTCTCTTATTTTCCTTGTGATGTCATTAATTCTGTCAAGGCGGATCCAACCCTTGTGACTCCATGTGAACCTACCATCTCCCAGAGTCAGCTTTCGGATATTACCACATTGATGGTTTGAATTTGGGCAGAATGCAAGCATTCAATTAGCTTCAAGTCATTAAATCAAAACAAAAGAGGAACATCACAGATTACACCCAAACGAGGGACATTGACCCCTAGACCATCTCCTTAGGGGTTTTTGAAAAAGATGGCAAAACCTACTGACCGTTTCTTTTTAGATTCTTCTAACCATCTGTAAAAAGCCAAGATACTAGTGCTATTCTTGCTGAGTGGTACATTTTCTTTTTTTTATAAAGCATGATTTCCTTATGTTCAAATAAGCTTAGAGAAATTAAGAACAGTATAAATAGAACACTAAAATTATGACCATTCCATCATTCCAACGGTCCTTGCTCGTCCGCTCAATAGTGGATATTCAGTGTCTAACTGCAGGTTCCAGGATTAACATGCACTCAAGAGTCTCCAGATCTCTGAAGAGCCTCATCACCACCAGCTTCAAAAGCCACCTCGTTTCCTTGGGCTGGATTTGAATTATGCATTGCCTGAAATACATTTACTAATTAACTTGTGCATTACATATTATTCGCTATATATAAATATTATTATGAAAATAAAATTTACTAATTTGGACTGGTCACATGCCCTTGCCGATCTTGAAGAGAGAGGGTTGGTACCCCCTTTGCAGATGTCCTGAAAGAAAGAACTGAATGGTAAATGCCAAGTGACCTGTGTGACAGCAGAAGGTGACTGAATGAACACCCTATTTACAGCCTAAGATCAATATATGTAGAACACTTTTGCAAGAGAAATGGACTATGTGAGATTTGCAGGATTTACCACTCAGCCACTAACATAGCCAATGTGTAGGAACAGATAAAAATGCTGGGGTCTTCACTATTATAGTCTGTAGGAGGTGAGTTCCTCTCTTAAAGTGTAAGATGTGACTTCATTTTTCAATAAAAGTGTTTTGGGTATTATAAATTAGGAAGGAAAACTGGAACACTAAATTGAAACCTAGTGAATGCATGTAGCCTGTGCATGAAGACTCTCAAAGTTACCTTTTGGAAACATTTACTGACAAAGTTTTCAGTCAGAATGCCTTCTTAAGAGTATTGTGTTTCTTTTTTTCTAATTGAGGTACAGAGATCTAACTATGAGGTACTCCTGCTACAAAATTGGTGACTGAACTTAGGCAAACTTCTACTTTCAATCTAACTTATGAGGTTATAGGAAGTAAAGAGTTCAGAGGATTACATTATATCTTTATTTTAAATTATGTGTTATTCCCTCAGGTTAAATTTAGATATGCCAAGTACTTAGCTAATAAGAGTTGCAGCTTCATTTTAACATGATTTTTTAACCATAATATTGCCTGATAGTTATTATATACAAAAATTGATATCAATAAAAATGTAAGATGAAAATCATAATCCAAGAACTAAAATTAATGAATTAATTATACATAGAATGACTATTTATATTGGGAATTAAAAAACAGCAACTAAGATATATTCACAACCAGATGCATGAGGCATTCTGAATGTTTCAAGATAAAGTCAGTCTACTGGAATCAATCTGGATAACATAAAGTACTCATTCTTTATAATGAGTACTCCAAGGCAATACATAATATACCATGAAACATTTGAAATAGGAATACATTCATACCAAGCGACACATAATCATTTACAGAGAGGAAAAATATAATTTTGAAGAAGGAATGGGAAATAAGTGTTTATCATCCTTTGGTCTTCATTCAACAAAGGAAGGGAGTAGACACAATGGAGGTCAGAAAGGACTAGACTTCGTGAAGTGAACCCTTTTATTTCACTTTACTCAGGCACATGAGATATTACAGGAAATAAGCCATATCCACAGTTCAAGATTAACTCAGTGTACCAATCTTCAAACCACGACACCAAAGGAAGTGGAGCAACTCCTGGAAACGACGTAGGCATGTATACTTCTGCCCAGTGCTGTAACGACTCAGAGTTCGCTACCCTTAGAGAGTGCACCATTACGACGCAGCCTACTGGAGCAGCCAGTGCTCGGTGGCCTCCTGTCTCATCTCTTAAGTTAGTCTCATTCACTTTTTGATTAATCAAAACAATAAGTATTCGTTGTATAAAATTTAAATAATATTCTAACCCTTGTGTCAGCCAAAACAGGTTAGGTTGTAACAAGCCTGAATCTCAGGAGATTACAGCACAGATTCTTTTCCTAATCCTTGCCTCATGTCCAATATGAATAGATACCATATTATGTTTGTTAAAAATGGGCTTATTTACAATTATCAGGCTTTTTTCTTAGGCAGCACCTCTCCTTTTATCTTTTACTCAGCGTTGTGTACGGCAGAAAAGGAAGAAGCTCACAGCACTCCCATGTATCTGGCATGGGACCACTTTCCTGCTCCCAATCTGGAGCTGTCCCAGTTCAATCATCAGGGAGCAAGCCACAAGGTGTTCAGTGAAGTGAGCAAGGAGACATCTATAGACTTCCAAAAACTTTATTTTTTTCTTTTCCTGGTCACATTCAAATGCCATCCACAGTATCTGATTTTCCAATATTTTCCGAATGGCCTTTGCTGATGTCTCCCTCCTCGGGTACTTTGGGTGTAGCCTTTCCTGCTCTACTAATACCGACCTCTATCCAGTTCCTCTTTCCATTTTTGTTGTACAAAAGTGAGTTGACATCACACAGCTCTAGCCATTCCTTGCTCTTCTTTGTTCTTGCGGGTCTACACTGATTTATAATTCCCCAACTAACCATATTTATTAGTCAGAGCCAAACCGGGAGAATACACCCACTCTAAGCATTCAAGACAAAGGGAATTTAATGCAAGGAATTAGTTACTCAGATGCTAGACCTGTGTAGGATCCAACCGAAGTCTGTGAGGTAACTCAGAGATTAGCAGCAGAGCCACACCCCCAGATGTGGTAGACAAAGGAAAGAGGTGTTACAGTCATCCTGGTAATTAGGGTGGAAATTACAACTGTGGCTGGCCTGAGTGCAGATGCAGCCTCAAAAGAGAAACAACCACCAACACATCCTCTACCTGACGTCAACGGGAGCAGTATGGGTCTCTGGTTTCTCTCTTCTTACCACCTCCAGCTTCCCATCACCACTGCGCCCTCTTGTTGGCTCATGGTATCCTCGGAGGCACAGAAGCCTTGCAGGGATCAGTCCTTCCACATTAGAACAGGGGCAAAAATCGAGAAATAGATCTAAACAAATAGAACCA